GAACGGTTGTGCAAGACGGACCGTTGTGAAGACGACGGTCAGTGACATATGCAGTGTGCTAGGGTTTTTGCAACGGACCTTATGACGGTCCGTCGTGGGTACGACGGTCCGTCATCAGGGTCTCGTTCTGCATGACATAGACAGAACTAAGGGTACCCTAAGCATCCCCGATGAACCCACATTAACCTTGTAGTGTTTTTGACCTATATGTGTCTAACCCAACTAACTAGGAAACTAGCAATGAAAAAGTACCTATGTCTAAGGTTGTAAACATGGCAATTTCGAACGTTTGTAACCTAGGTTAGGCAGAGTCATCTAAAGTAAACAAAATACAATGAGGAACTAAGCTTAATACTAATTAGTAAACACAAATGCAAGATAAATGAGTATAAATTAGAGACACAGACCTTAGAAAAGGAGAAAAACAAATGCACAAGTACTCGGTGGCAAGGTAGACACCCACAGCAGCAGTTTTCACTAGTAGATTAACACTTTAGGGCTTGGGAGAATTGTGATGGGGGCAATTATCGGAGGGAGGGAATGTGGAATGTTGAAAAGAGAGAGTAATGGGAGAAATAATGAAGTAATGTGGTGAAATATGAAGGGGTGGGGAGTTTAAACGGTCTTATTTTGGAAAAGGGTCTAGCCGGGTGGGGTCAAGTGTACCTCATTAATCACGCGACGGTTCCCCGACGACGGTCCATCAAAGTTGTGACGACCCGTCGTTGGTTCCGTCGTGTGTGACCTAATTTCATAATGACACAAAAACGTACCTGGTACAACGGATGCATACGGCGGTCCGTCGCAGGCGCAACAATTCGTCGATGTGTCCATCAGTGACTGCTGCAGAGTAATTTTCTGCAGAATTTCCTGGTGATTTGCCTACAAATTTAAAACCCATTTGTAGAAAAATGCTACCATTACTAAAAAGACGATAAGTACTGCGTTGCCTCCCAACAAGCACCTGATTTAATGTCGCGGCACGACTGGGGACACTTGATTACTCAGACTTCATCAAGATGGTATGCCTCTATCGCTTCATTCCCCGATGCTTTATGCCCAAAATAGAGTTTTATTCTATCTTTATTCCTCTTAAAATGCACTCCCTCCTTGGCTTTTAACTCAACTTCCCCATGAGGGAATACTTGGGTAGTCAAGTAAGGGCCTGTCCATTTGGACTTGAGCTTGCCCGGAAGACAAGGCACCCTAGAACTGTCTACAAGCACATAATCCCCAACCATGAACTCTTGTTTTGCATTTTTCTGTTCAGTCTCCTTCTTCATCTTTTCTTTGTGAGATATGGCAGATACCGATTGGAGCTCACCACTCTGCCTCATGGTCCTACAAATGCTGAAGGTGGCTTCTTCATTATTCAACCGAAATGTCATCTGTCCCTTCTCCATATCAACTAAGGCTCTACCTGTAGCAAGGAATGGTCTCCCAAGAATAATAGGCACTTAAAATCGACCTCACATTCAAGAATAACAAAATCAGCTGGAAAGATGAATGACTCCACGTTTACTAGCACATCATGGAGTATCCCTATGGGCCTTTTCACTGTCCGATCGGCCGTTAGTAGCCGCATCGCAGTGGGTTTTCGATCCCCCAAACCCAACTTCTTGTAAATTGAGAGGGGCATGAGATTTATGCTTGCCCCCAGATCACATAATGCTTTCGCAAAATGTAATGACCCTACTATACAAGGAATAGTGAACCCCACCCGGATCTTCTTTCTTTTGTACTAGGGATCTTGTAGCAATAGAACTACAATGCTGCAATCTATCATCATCCTCAAAATTGACCGATCTTTTCTTTGTGACCAGATCTTTCATGAATTTGGCATAACCGGGCATTTGTTCTAGAGCTTTTACAAAAGGGACATTGATAGAGAGCTGCTTCAACATTGTTATGAAGCGCCGGTATTTACCATCCTCGGTCTTTTTCATTAATCTCTGAGGGAAGGGTGGTGGTGGCCTAGGCATGGGAATTACCTTGATAGGTACTTCTGAATCTTTTCCATTACTTCCCTCTACTTCACCACTACCCCTTACCACATTATCAATATCCTTTCTCACATTTTCCTCAGTATATGGCATAGGTGGGTCAATGGTTTGCCTACCACCCCGAGTAGTGATTGGCATATAGTGCGCATCATTCTTTGTATTTTGGACAGTGTTGCTAGGAAGAGTGCCTGGTTGCCGTGTGTTCACAGTCGTAGATAATTGGGCCACTTGCAATTCAATCTGTTTAATCGAAATTGCATGTGTATCAACTTTTTGCCCAATACTAGCTAAATCACACCTCAACTCTTTAATGTGTTCATCACTAGTGTCGAACCTCCTCATCATTTTGTGCAACATATCCTCAACTCGCGCCATGCTATCTCCACCATCCCTAGGAGTAACTTCACGATTTTGAGAAGGGACACAGGGCCCATTCCTGTCATTTCTATTAGCATAGTTACTCTTGTTAAAGTTGTTGTTGCGGTTGTAGTATTTATCAAGGACATAATGACCCTCACGGTTGTAGTTACCATAGTTCCGACCTGGATTTCCTTGACCTTGGCGCTAGTTATCCTTATTTGAGCCTTGGGCGCTTTGTCGGAAACCCCCCCTCTGCTCATTCAATGCATAAGTGTCCTCCGCATAATAGCACTCATCATTAGGAGGTGGTGGTTTAGCCAAGTAGTTGACTGCAGTTATCTTTTTGGCACCCCTGTGACATGATTTAGTACCAACACAAGCTCAGTTCTCATCTGAGCCATTTCATCACGAATCTCATCTGTGGGTGGGTTGTGAGTGGATTGCACTGCGAAGGTATTTCTCCCTGTATCGGACTTCCTAGTACTCCAAGCTTTGTTATTTTGGGAGATTTTCTTTTGTTTTTCTGCAATCTCAGCATAAGGGCATTCTCCATAAGATCCACCTACTATAGTGTCCAACACCGCTTTATTGTTATCATCATGTCCCCGATAAAAGTATTCCTTCAGTGACTCATCATCTATACGGTGATTTGGAACACTTCTCAAGAATGAGGTGAATCTATCCCAAGAACTACTAACTGACTCTCCTTGTAGTGCCACAAAGTTGTTCACCCTGTCTTTGTGGTTTAATTTCTTGGAGACCGGATAGTAGCATGCTAAGAAGACATCCCTTAGTTGGTTCCAAGTGAAGATGGAGTTGTATGGGAGCTCAGTGAACCACATAGCAGTCTCTCCCGTCAGTGAGAGAGGAAACACTCTGAGACCTATTACATCTAGATCCAAATCAGGCCTCCCCACATAACTTTTACACACTGCCCTTACCTTAGCTATTTGGGCATGTGGATCCTCACAAGGTAGCCCTGAAAACAAACCTCTGGCAGTGAGCATTTGCATCAGGCTACTAGTTACCACAAAAGTGTGGCCTGTGAGTAGAGGTGGCAAGACAAGTGGCCCATCCGAGTCATTTATGTTATCATACCCTCTGTAGTATGCTTGAGGCCGTGGAACGGGATTTTGTCCCCTTTATTTATGTTCACCCGTAGCATCGCGTAACATCTGACCATGAACATCCACTGGATCTGGGATGTTCTGGTTTGGATCCTCATCATTTATTCCCCAGTTTTGATTCATATTGCGCAGTGTACGCTCTAGCTCGTGATCGTAGGGAAACAAGGGTTCTCTCCCTCTCTGTATTTTGCATACAAGGAGGATAGTTCTTAAAGGAAATCAAAAACAATAAAACAAATTAAAATCAAGAATATATCAACTAAACTATAGTAATAAGTTCAAGTTAATCTAAAAGCTACATTCCCCGGCAGTGGCGCCAAAATTTAATACGGTCAAACATACTTCTCAAATAAGAAGTAAAGTGGTCGTGTCAAGTAAATAACCCAACTAGTGAGTTTGGGATCGTTCCCACGAGGAAAATAGCTTAGACTTAACTTCAACCTATTATTACTATCGTTTGGTCAATAACTTCCTTGGAAACTAAAAATATAAAAAGGGGGGGTTCTATCTCTAAATAAGTGAAAATAAACAACAAACTTGAAAGAGACACTTAAAAGCTTTTAATGTTGGGTTTTAATAAATTAATCAAAGTAACTAGGATTTACGTGTTCCCCACAGGTTCATAACTTGATAACTCTAACTATAACAATTCTTTCCTAGTATCTTGCATGCAAAGTGATAAATTATGTATTTCTAAATCCTTGGTCCGGCATCTAGAAAATATCACTCCGCACTATGGTCCGGCTACGTGTGTTGCTATCCGAACCATTATCATTACCTCATATTAAGCATCGTATTCAATATTTGACTAAGTTATTACTTCGTACAAATCAATACTAGCCTATTAGATAGTATACACTAAATCTATGTTAATAATTCTTTTCCTATTATCTACCTCCTTGGTCCCGCAAGTAGCATTAAGGCGAGTTCTAACATTGGCCATCCGTTAAAAAGACTTCTAAACAAAAAAATTATTTATTCATGCAAGACACTATTCTAGAATTGTTCTTTTAATTACGGTTTATATCATTATTTTCCTATGGTCCCACAACCCTAGTTATGGAGTTTAGTTACTTATAGCCATAAACAGAATATTCAAATTTATTAAATAAGAATTCATGTAGTTACTTCAATGAGAAAGAATAAAGTCCGAAAGTTTGCTTGATTAATCACCAATAATCACTTGTAAGAATCTAAAAATCTAACACTAATCAACAATCACAAGTTCCAATAATCCAAAAGTCTAATAATATGGAGTCTAACCTCAAAAACAAGGTTTTTCAAACTATTTATAAAAAATAAAAATCTAATTAAACAAGGACTCTTTTTGCTTGAAATCTGCCAAAACGCTACTGGATCGACGAAACACGCAACGGACCGTCGTAGTCATGACTGACAATCATGGACTCCGTCGTCCCATACTTAGCAATTTCTTATGTTACTCTCTTCATTCCCCTCGACGGCAAGTATAACAGACCGTCATAGGCACAACGGTCCGTCGAGAGTCTTCTTTTCAAAACACTTTAACTCTTGGATTCTGGGTACTGGGATCACTTCTCTGAACTTCATGACGAACCTGCAGGACGGACCGTCATAGCCACGACGGACCGTCACAAGATACGTAACCCCACACTTGGTCAGACTTCCCCATCTTCCTTCAGCAGCTTCTCTACACTGCAACCTACGGACAGTCGCAAGCACGACGGACCGTCATCAGCTCCGTAGGTGGTTTCTTCTGCATTTCTTCGCTCAAAATCTCCGCATTCAACTTTGGACAGATTTCCTGCAAAACAAAGAGAAACTCATATAAAAACTAGCACAAAAAGACTTTCGGACACACTAAACTTAAGGAAAAAGTATTAATTATACCGTGTAACCACGGTATATCACTCTCTCTCCACACTCAATATATGACTCCACCATCAGCTGAACCACCAGACAAGAGGCAGTGTAAGATAAATACAGTACCTTTTTTTATGAGTATGTAGTGGATAATTCTGAGGATGAGCTGGATAGGGACAACCATTCTCTAGATGAACCTGATGAGGATAATATGACTAGCGAGGATCTTATTAAGGCCTTTAGTTTTTATAATTTTCCGTACCTAGAGGAGGAATTTCAATACGAAGCACAAAGATCACCTCACAAGACCTCTTTCGGAAAAATGATTCAGGAAGCTACTTTGAATAATAACCCTTGGTGTACTGTTGGTGATTTCAATGTTATAACTTCTGTAGGAAAAACTTGGAGGGCTGCCTTATAACATGAGGAAAATTAGGATTTTATTGCTTTCATTGAAGCCTGTGGCCTTTTGGACATTGGTTATAGTGGTCACAAATTCAATTTATGCAACAAGAGAGGGATTAACCACAGAATCTGGAAGAGGCTTGATAGGGCTATGGTAAATGATTCATGGTTGGAAAACTTGCCTCAAACCACTATAACTCATTTGTCATCTACTGGGTCTTATCAATGTCCTCTTCTTATGGAAATGATTTCCACATCTACTGATCACATCAATTATTTCAGATTTATCAACTGTTGGATGAAAAAACCTAAATACATGGAAACAGTAAAAACCTGCTGGGAAAAGGAAGTGGCAGGTACAGGTATGTGGAGATTTAACCAAAAAATGAAAAGGTTGACAAACACGCTTAGTGGTTGGTCTAAGAATGAATTTTGTGATATTTTCCAAAAGGGTAGCATGTATGAGGAACAAGTACACAATGCTGAAGAAAACTACATCACTAACCAAAGTGACTCAAATAAAAGTATCCTCCATGAAATTAATGCAAAGTACATCAAGTTTCTCAAGTTTGAAGACACTATTTTGAAACAAAAAACACAGATTCAATGGTTTAAGGAGGGTGATACTAACTCTAAATACTTCCATTATATGATGAGGGGAGGAAGAAGGAAATTATTTATTCATAAAGTTGTCAATGAAAATAGAAACTTGATACAAGGTGATGACAACATTGCTCAAGTAGCTTGTGAACACTTCAAAGAAATCTTTACTGGTGAAGAAAAGCTTATGAATGAGCATACTTTTGATGTATTCCAAGGATGATTATTCAAGACAAAAATATTCAGCTTACAAATATTCCTAGTAAGGATGATCTTAGAGAGGTGGTCTTTTTTCTGAATCCTAATTCTGCAGCTAGCCCTGATTGTATGAATAGGTATTTCTTTCATAAGTGTTAGCATATTATCAAGAATGATCTAATGGGGGTTGTACAGACCTTTTTCAATGGAGAAATGATTCCTAAATATTTCTCCCATTCTTTCATTGTGCTGCTCCCTAAAGTGAACATTCCAAACAAGGTGATTGTGTATAGGCCTATAAGTTTGAGCAACTTCACTAAAAATATCATATCTAAGCTAATGAGCAATAGACTTAGTCCTATCCTCCCTGACTTGATCTCTCATTCACCAAATCCAAAAACCCAATATTGGTAGCAATGTCATCATTTAACTTTCAGGATCATAAAGATAAGTTATAGAGATAAATAAAAACTTACTTTTCTATATATATTGTGGAAGCTTCAGAATTTACATATAGAGAGAAGTAAAAACATTGATGAAAAATTACAAAGTGCCTTGTTGGTTTTTCGGTCTTCGATTTCTTCTTTAAGGATGAAGTCTTAAATAATCTTGAAAGGATAAGGGAAATCTAAAAGCTCTTCTTCTGATTGGTTGTTGATTTCCGTCCGTTGCTTTTGATAAAAAAAGTATTTCATTTTCTTTTGAAAAGTATGTTCACCTTTATCTTTTGATAAGGTTACGTCAGCCACTTTTGTCGGCCATAATTGTTGATAATGCTTTGTTGATCATGCTTTGTGGGTCCTGAAAAATTCTACTTAATAATTTTATCAAAAGGAAATTCCATCTCTTTGGGACTCTTCCTTTTCTTTCTAGATAATTCTAGCTCTATTGGCCTCTATCTGAAACACTAGTTATTCTGGGTCTCTATCTGAAACACTAGTTATTTCAGATTTTAATACCCTCAACTAGTGATTAATCATAAAATGGATCGAAATAAGACTGTGCCAAAACTTTAGGTTTTTCTCCATTATTGTCACTATGAGAGGATGAAGCTTCTTCAAGGAGCTTCATTATAGACTGTTCATTATCTTCAGAGTCTAAGTCTGACAAGGCCTTTGTTATCTTATCTTCAGTTCTTTCTCAGATAAAGTCTTCTGGGGAGATCTTCTAGAGATCGATTGGTTGATGATTTGCAGCTTCTTTTGGAGCTGGAGACCATCCTTTAATCAGGACTTCTCTTGACAAATACTTTATCCTGTACAATTCTGCAATACAGAAAGTCCAACTATTAATATAAAAAATACTTTTTGGAATAAAATATTTACATAATTTTATATTCTCTAGGAGAGAAGATATGTCTTGATCTATGTGAAACTAATTTAATTTCTCAGCAATGTTTTTTGGCAGAACTTGTTTATTACTGCCAAAACAGTTCCACCATTCGTAAAACCATCTTGGGATGACCCTCTTGGTCACATCAAAGTTTTCATTAAGTTTGTGTTCAACTTCAATTGGACAAGTATCAACAAGAATGAACTCGAAGTATTTTCTTGTTTTTAATGGATTATCAGTATCAACATAATTTCTGTTAGAAAATAGAGGTTTAACAAGATGTTTTACCTCAAAATTTTCATAATTTCAAAGGTTTCTTTTACCTTTGGAGTTTTATCTGTAGTTGAAGCAGTACTTGGTGCAACTGCTTCTTTGAAGCTCTTAGGAGCTTTCATGGTGTAAGAATCTATTGTTTGGGGGAAAGAGTATCTGGGTAATCCTGATGGCGAGTGTGAGCAAGGTTCTACAATTTGTTTAAAGGGTTTATTAGAGGTCGGAGGCAGAGAAGGAAAAGGAGTTATTGAAAATTCTAAGTCTATGGGTTGTAAGATAGCTAAAGCGGAGTATTTGTTTGGGTCATTCGATAATGGCCTGATAGCAAATAGTTTTGCTGAAGGTTTTCCTTCAGGACTCTTTCCTTTATTCTTGAAGGGGCTCCCTGTTATGGCTCTTGAAGAGGGCCTCATGATGATTTTCCCTGCAAGAATTCTCGTGTTAAAAAGTCAAGCAAAGATTATATTTTCCTTTAATAAATTTGATTTGAAATTCGAAGTTGGATAATGAGGCTTGCCACCTAGCAAAAATTTGTTTAGAGACAAGATTTTTAACATCTTTCTGTAGAATTTCTTTAGAAGATTTGCAATCTACTCTAAGTAAGAATTCTTTATTAATAAGATCATCTTGGAATTTAGTGATTCAGATAACTATATAAAGAAGTTATTTCTTAACAGTACTATAATTCTTTTGAGTTGAATTCTAGATTCCTTAAGTATAATGAACTAATTGTTCTGATGAATCTGGGGTTCTCCTCTGTGTGAGGATACCACCAAATCCTATATCAGATGCATCCGTCTCTACAATCATAAAATTCTCTACAATCATAAAATAGTCTTGGTTAGAAATCCCTAGGCAAGGAAGGTTTTTAACCATAGATTTAAGAAGAACATCTAATTTAGTATGTTCGTTAGTCCAGAAAGATGGATCCTTGTTTAACCTGTCAAAGAGTGGTTTACAGATTTGTCTTACTCTAGGGATAAAGTCGGCAATATAATTAAGTCTTCATAAGAACCTTTGCACTGAGTTTTATCAAGGACAATATCAGGGAATTTTTTAGAAAACGCAATGGCCCTGCAAATAGGTTTATAGGTACCTTGATACAAATCATGACCTAAAAATCTAATTTGTGTTTGAAATAATTTTATATTCTTAGCACTAATGACAAAACCATTGTACTTAATTATTTTGAAGAAAAAATTAAGTTGTTTGAAATGAGAATCAATGTCCTCGAAGAATAGTAATACATCATCAATATATACAATCGATATATCGCTAATGTGATTAAAAAAGGAATTCATTATATTTTAAAATTTAGAAGGGGCATTCTCAAGCCCAAAAGGCATGACGTTCCATTCAAATTGTCTAAAAAGGACATTGAAAGCAGTTTTATATTTGTCCTTCTCAGAAATTTGAATTTGCCAAAAACTAGATTTTAAATCAAATTTGCTATAAATATTGGCCTTGAAAGTTCTTTTTAAAAGATCTCTTTTGTTTGGAACTGGATAGTGAATCCATTTCAAGCCTGAGTTTAAAGGCTTGTAATTTATAACATGTCTTGGAGAACCTCGTTCTTGCTCAGCTACATTGTTAACATAAAACGCTGAACAACTCCAAGGAGATTTAGAAGGTCTAATAATTTTATTAGCCAAAAGAGAGTTAATTTCCTTTTTACAGATTTCCATTAGTTCATGGTTCATCTGAATAGGCCTAGCTTTCGTCGAAATGACACTTTCATAAAAAAATCAATATATGGTAAATCTATAATGTGGATCTTTCTGGCCAAAAAAGCATTTGGAAACTTAGAGAGAAAATTTCTCTTTCAAAAGTTTGTTGAAGATTAGCAATTTTAGCTATCATTCCCGGGATTCTTAAAATTTGCTCTATTTTCTTCATTTTGATATATTCTTTAATAAAAACAAATCTGGTTTATTTTGAAAGCAGATTGTTTGTGTAAAAAAAAATTTTCTTCAAGAGAAAGTGTTTTTATAAAGGGAAATGAAATTTCTTTTCCCAAAATTTTTATTTTGATATAATCAAAATCTTAAATATAAGGTTTTATCTGAGTGATAAAAACAATTCCTAAAATGATTTCTTCGTTAATATTTTTAGTGATAACGAAATCATTAGAAAGAAAAATACCATTGTTGCAAATATGGGCACTGGATAATTTATAATTAATAAGAATACGCTCACCAGTTGCGCTATATAGCTTGGTGGTTCCCTATTGATGGTACTTAGTAGGGATTAAACCTTCAATAATGCAATTTCTATCTGCCCCACTGCTTAACAAAGAAATTCTTTTGACAACATAATTATTATTAATGATTAATTTTTTAAGGATGTGAGAACTTTGAGGTCTAATTTTTGTAATCATGTTTACACCTACCTCAGTTTCATCTCCGGGGGATGAAAATTCTTCGAAACCATTTTCCTCATTATCCGAATGAGTCAGTTCTTTTCCTTTAGATGTACCTTCTACTTCTTTTAGGATTACTTTTATTAGGGCATCAATTTAGATTTTATGAATTCTAGATTTGACTTCTCTGATTTCTTGTTTAAGAAGATTGACTTCTGATCGCAGCTCACCTATAGAAAGTTCATCCGTGTTATTGTCAAATCTATTCATAATGTGTTTCATACTGAATGAATTACACTTGTAGTAAGCTCCTTTTCTTTTCGTTTACTAACTAGTTTTTGAAGTTCCAATAAATAACTTCTTCGAGCTCATCTTCTTTGATATGCTCAATTGTTGCAAATAATATTTCAACTGAATCTTCAGAGATAACCCTTACAGACTGATTGTCGCATAGGCAAAAGGCTCATTAAGAGTTTCACTCTGGAATACTGTCATCTGTGTTTTGAGCTACATTAAGAAACTCTTCGTCTTTAGTTTCACTATCAGAAGAGTGTTCAGATTCTGACTCTTATTCGTCTAAGACAGAGAGAAACTGCTTTTTAGTTTCTTCTTCTACTTCAAGAAGGTTGATCTTCTTCATTTTTCTTTTGTTTTTGGGACAATCAGGAGAGTTATGTATTTATTTTCAACAAGTCCAACACTTATCCTTTTGAGAAGTATGTTTACTTCTCTTTTTTAAGTGTTTTTTCCTTCTAGGGGATTTTTTACAATCTGGCGATTTTCCAGATCGCTCTTTTTTTGAAACCTTTCTTGCTGAAGGTGGTTTATGAATTTGAAACCCAAAGTATTTATAGAATATTCCATTCTCGGAAACCAAAAACTTTTGATCCTTCTTGAGTTTTTCTATTAGCTTTAGATCAGTGCAAAGCTCCATGGCTACAAAGTTGATTAAACAAATTGGATCACCATAAGAGATATGTGAGTAAGGGATTTTACCTTCACATCGATCTCTTATCTTTGACCTTACTTTTTCGGAAAAGTGGGGAGGTAATCCACTAAGGAAACGTTCTTTCCAATAGTCGTTGTTGAAATCTTCCCTTATCATCACTTTGGTTATAAACATATCTTTATACAACCTGAAATTAGTTAATTTCTTGCAGTAAAGATTGTTTAGAATCTCTAAACTTCTATCTAGGAAAAGGTGTGGTTCTCCCACAAAATGCTTAGCAATACTATAGACAAGAGTAGTCGTAGTATCTTCTACTGCTTCTATAGATGTAGAAGTTGGTCCTCCAATTTCGACAACTGATTTGTTTGCTATAGAATCAAGAATGTCAGCTCTATTTAGATTTGTGAGATAATTGTCCCACATATTTCTAAGAGTTCCTACGAAACCTACTACTAACATGTAAGCAGCTTACTTGTCCATGGAAATCTTCCATTTATAAGTTGTGACATTCATGCCCATCTCATCAAGTTTGTTGTGGATCTGGCCATCCACCATTTCATCTATATTCCATTCTGTAATTCCCTTTCCATCTGCAATTCCTTGAGGGTCCATATGTTTTTCTTCGAGTTGAACATCGGGAAAAGAGGTTCTAGGATAAAGGTTTTTGGAATAGGGGAGCCTATCTTTAAGAGTGTTGATTTTTCCGCCATGAGTTATTTTGAGCTTTGAGAGCTGGTCATTGATCCTTCAAGAATCTCGGGAGAGTTATTGAATTTATTAGAAGGTTTAGAAAAAGCTTCAGGAGAGAACTCATGGATTTTAAAAATGGGAATGGTTTCTAAATTAAAACAATTTTTTGAAGAACTGGGTTTATTACCAAGCTGACTGGTACCGCTATAATTATAACTGGAGTCTCCTATCTGTTTAGAAAAAACATGAATAACTTAGTTAGTATAATTATTTTGTTCAAATATTTTGTTGATATCTACAACAGTTATAGGGTCGTTGTCCTATCTGTAGGCTTTTTGAAAGGAGCAGCTTTCAAGACTTCTTTTCTGCAAGGAATGTGAATACCTTCAAGAGGAGGAGTTATACTTTTGACAACCTTATCTTTGGTATGCCACTTTTTTTTATCAAAATCTGAAGTGATGAATTGATTTCATCAATTTGGCCGGAACATTCAAACCATTTGAAGAATTCAATTTCAGTTTTGAATCTCTTCATGTCTTTGAACAATTTGTCTCTGAATGAGATTCTCTGGTCTTTTGTATATGTGTCAACATACCAATCCTTTTTAAGAGCATGCTTTGGGTTGTTCCACCACTTGCTAATTTTCTTTATATCTGGAGTAAAATTCTCTGTAGATTTGATAACACCAACTGAGTCTTTTTTTCTATGGAAAGAAGGTCTCATGTCATTGAGAGAAGGATTTCTTTGAGTTGATTCGTAATAGAATTTAGGAATAGTGTTGGTAAAATGCACACCTTGAAATTTACTTTGTTCTAAATCTTCAAAAACATCAGAAATTTCATCATCTTCTTTGTTTTGAAGAAGACGTTCTAACCAAAGACATTCTTCAACTTTAAGAGTGTTGGTTGAAAGAGTTGGATCTTAAAAACTTAAGGTTAATAGATCCGTCTCAAAACTGGGTAATACATTCTAGCGAAGACCTAGAAGGTTGAAT